TCTGCATTCCATTTTGTTGAGTGGTGTCTGGGGTCTTAAAAGCTAGTGAGCGGCCATCTAAGATGCATCAATTGGCTCCAACCCACCTGGAGCAAAGGAGAATGAAGAACACCAAAGACACAAGGGAAATATTAGCCCAAGAGACAAAAAGGGCCACATAAACCAGAGACTCCATCAGCCTGAGGCCGGAAGAACTAGATGGTGCCCGACTACCACCAATGACCGCCCTGATAGGGAATACAACTAAGAGTCCCTGATGGAGCAGGAGAAAAGTGGGGTGCAGAACTCAAATTCTAGTAAAAAGACCAGACTTAATGGTCTGACTGAGACTGGAGGGAGCCCGGAAGACATGGCCCCTGGACTCTCTGTTAGCTCCGAACTGAAACCATTCCCAAAGCCAACTCTTCAAAGATTAGACTGGACTATAAGACATAAAATGATACTCATGAAGATAGTGCTTCTTAGTTCAAGTAGATACATGAGACTAAATGGTCAGCTCCTGTCCGGAGGCGAGATGAGAAGGCAAAAAGAGACAGGAGCTGATTGAATGGACACGGGAAACACGGCGTAGAAAGGAGGAGTGTGCTGTCACATTATAGGGAGAGCAACTAGGATCACATAACAATGTGTGTATAAATTTTTGTATGAGAGACTAACTTGAACTGTAAACTTTCACTTAAAGCACAATTAAAAAAAACAAAAAGACCACCACCCCTAGCACATCTGAGCAGAAAAGGAATTTATTGGAAGTCCACTGATAGCTCCCAAAATTGCCACAAAGCCTGCGTAACCAGGCTCAGGAAATAAGCCAAGTCAAAGAAACTGAAGCATGGCCCTGCGCCAGAACTCACTGCAGATCTGCCCTGGTGAGGACAGGCCAGCCACAGGCCCGCAGGACACAGACACACAGCCTGTACCAATGGCCCTGGGCACTGCGGGCGCTGCTGCCTCCAAGATGGTTGCTCCGCTGATCTTGATGCATTGCCACGCTAGCCCTCAAATCAAAGCCTAAGGAGGCAGTGGTCCACCTGGCTCAACCTGGGTCCCATGGCCTCCCATCAGCTGCAAGGGATGCTGGGAATGGTGAATATCTCGCTCTGTAGCCTCTACAGTGGATAGCTGTACCTCCTACCAACACGCATATGATAAAAATTCCCCAGACATGGGAATCAGATCCTGGGCAGCCGAGTGACACCAGCTGCCACAGCAGTGGCAGCTTTGTCCTTGGGTCTTTGGTGAACGCTAAGGCTTGTTTATATTTTGTATGTTCTTAAGTCACATTTGAGTTGCCCAGTCAACAATTATCCAGTCACTTATGTCTGTTCAGGGCTAAGAAATATTTACTGAGTCCCCACTTGTATGCAACAGGCTGTGCAAGGCAATTTTTGTTATACAAAGACGAAATCGTATCTGGATATAAGGAATGTATCTGTGTTCTGTCTGACCAGGCATTATTCTGAGGTAACGTAATGGGCTTCTCTCTTGAACTGCAATGGAGGAGCGGGCCCCATTTCTCAGACAGCAGAAAGAGTGTCTATATTAAAACATTTAGTCACCCAACCAATCAGTGCAGAGCCTACTCTGTGTCAGGCTGTGTGCTTGTGGGACACGGGATGAAGAGGACAGAGCAGGTATAGGTGTGCATGGCCAAACCCATCTATGCGGCAAGAACAACAAACAGGGGCACACCAGGCAGCTGAGCAGAGGCCAAATGGTTCTGCCCAAGAGGTTCGTGAGGTGTGATGGTTCAGTGGTAGAATTCTCTGGGTGGTGAAAGTGGTTAAGTGCTCTACTACTAGCCAGAAAGTTGGTGGTTCCAACCACCCAGAGATGCCTCAGAAGACAGGCCTGGTGATCTGCTTCGAAAGGGTCACCCCTTTAAAAACCCTATGGAGCAGTTCTACCCTGTACACATGGGGTTGCCATGAGTCGGAATTAACTCCACGGTAACTAACAACAATACAGAAGAGCCAGCTTCAATTCCTGGCCAATGCACCTTATGCACAGCTACCACCCGTCTGTCAGTGAAGGCTTTTGTGTGGCTATGATGCTGAACAGGTTTCAGAAGAGCTTCCAGACTAAGATGGACTAGGAAGAAAGGCCTGATGATCTACTTCTGAAAATTAGCCAATGAAAACCCTATGGATCACCATGGTGCAATCTGCAACCAATCATGGGCTGGCACAGGACTGGGCAGCATTTCACTCTGTTGTGTCTGGGATCACCATGAGTCAGGGGCCAACTCGATGGCAGCTAACAACAGCAAGAGGTTCTTAGCAAAAGGCTGAAAGATAGAGCACTCAAACCAAGAGCTTGGGGTCTTCAGAAGAGTTGGCTGTGGGGGTCCAACAGTTAGCAGAGGTTTCCAAGCTGCCCTCTGTATCTCCAGGGTCTCCCCTGGCTCACATCCATTTGCACTGTGATGCCAAATGAATCTTCCAAAAACAGCATTTTCATCATATCACAAGGTGGTTCCAACTCCTCGCTGGTTCCCCTCATCCTTGTGGTCAGACTCTTGTGCCTCATGTTGGCCAGGTCCACCCAGCCCTGGGCCATTGCTCCCCTCCTAGCCCCTGCCCCAGAGAGGCTGCCACCAGCTGATGCTCAGTGCATGGTACTCTCAGTATATGCTGTTCTTCCAGCTGGGAACTCTTCCCCAACTCATTTCCCCTCCAAGTCCTACCAGGATGAGTTCAGACCCCACCTCTGCCTGAGCACTCAGCCTTTAAAATCTCCTGTGCTCACTGTCTCATCTATTCACCTAACACTTGATCATTCATTCACTCATTCATTCAACAAAAATGTCCAGACACAAAAATGACACTACAGAGAGACCAAGACAGGCTCCTGCCCTCGATGGTTTAAAAAAAAAAAAAAAAAAAAGTTGCTGTCAAGTTGATTCTGACTCATGTTGATTCTGACTTATATTGATTCATACTCATGGCAACCCCATGCGTTGCAGAGTAGAACTTGGCTCCATAGAGTTTTTGATGGCTATGACCTTTGGAAGCAGATCATCAGGTTTTTCTTCTGAGGCCACTCTGGGTGGATTTGAACCATCAACCTTTCAGTTACTAGTCTAGCACTTAACCATTTGTGCCACCAAGGGATTCCTCCATGGTAAATACCCACCAGATTAAAACCGAGCTGCATTTGACCCAGCAATTCCACTCCTGGATATATACCCAAGAGACTTGAAAGCAGGAACGCAAACAGATACGTGTACTCTAATGTTCATTGCAGTACTACTCACAATAGTCAAAAGGTGGAAATAACCCAAATGTCCATCAACAGATGAGTAGATAAACAAAATGTAGAATATACATGCAATCATACAGTGGAATATTATTCAGTCATGAAGAAGTATGAAGTTCTGATACATGCTACAAAATGGATGAACCTTGAAAACATGCTAAGTGAAGTAAGTCAGATATAAACCCAAACCAGAACACACTGCCATCAAGTCAATTCCGTCTCACAGTGACCCTATAGGACAGAGTAGCGTTTCTAAGGATGTAATCTTTACAGAAGCAGACTGCCATACCTTTCTCCCACTGAGCGGCTGGTGGGTTTGAACCTACGATCTTTCGGTTAGCAGCCGATCACTTTAACCACTGCGCAACCAGGGCTCCCTCAGTCAGATATAAAAGGACAAGTTTGCTGACGAAGTACTGAGTTTCTGTCTGGCGTGATGAAAACTTTTGGAAATGGATGGGGGTGATGGTAGCGCAACATGAGGAATTAATTAATGGCGCTGAATTGTACACTTTAAAATGGGAAGAAACTTTTATATATTTTTATATATTTCACCACAGTAAAAATTTTTCATTTTTTGTTTTTTTTTTTTCATTTTTTATTATTATTGTACTTTAGATGAAGGTTTACAGAACAAACTAGCTTCTCATTAAACAGTTAGTACACATATTGTTTTGTAACATTGGTTACCAACTCCATGACATGTCAGCTCTCTCCCTTCTTGAACTTGGGTTCCCTATTACCAGCTTTCCTGTTCCCTCCTGCCTTCTAGTCCTTGCCCCTGGGCAGGTGTGCCCCTTTAGTCTCATTTTGTTTTAGGGGCTTGTCTAATCTTTGGCTCAAGGGTGAACCTCAGGTGTGACTTCATTATTGAGTCAAAAGGGTGTCCAGGGGCCATACTCTCGGGGTTTCTCCAGTCTCTGTCAGGCCAGTAAGCGTGCTCTTTTTTTGTGAGTTAGAACTTTGTTCTACATTTTTCTCAAGCTCTGTCCGGGACCCTCTATTAAATTCCTGTCAGAACAGTTGGTGGTGGTAGCCAGGCACCATGTAGTTGAACTGGACTCAGTCTGGTGGAGGCTGTGGTAGTTGTGGTCCATTAGTCCTTTGGACTAATCTTTCCCTTGTGTCTTTAGTTTTCTTCATTCGCCCATGCTCCTGGTGGGGTGAAACCAGTGGAGTATCTTAGATGGCCACTCACAGGCTTTTAAGATCCCAGACGCTACTCACCAAGGTAGAATGTAGAACATTTTCTTTATAAACTATGTTATGCCAACTGAGCTAGATGTTCCCCAAGACCATGGCCCCCAGAGCCCTCAGCCCAGTTAATTGGTCCCTCAGGGAGTTTGGATGTGTCTATGGAGCTTACATGACCTTGCCTTGTACAAGTTGTGCTGCTTTCCCCAGTATTGTGTACTGTCTCACCCTTCACCAAAGTTATCACAGTAAAATTTTAAAAACAAAACAAAAACCTAACTGTACTTGTGTCAAGGGCCATGAGGGAAGGTTGTACTGAGTGGGCCACAAGAGGATGTCACAGGGTAATGGGGTGTGGACAGGTTCAGAGAAGGCCCCCCTGGATAAGAGTCATTTATACAGAAAAACTCAAATTAGAGTTAGCCAGGAAGAGAGCATTCCTGGGTGAAGGCTCAGGGGTAGGAAGACCTTGCAGAGCATGGTGAAGGAGGGGACAGTGGCCCATGATGAGGACATATTAAACATTTGGGGTTTATCCTGAGTGTAGAGGGGAACCATTAGACCTGGTTTAAGCAGGGGAAAGATAAGACTTGGATTTTAGAAAGAAACTTGGGATTTAGCAACAGAGGAGGCAGGGAGTCTGGTTGGAGGCCCCTGCAGCCATACACGCAAGAGATGATGGTGATTTGGGTTAAGAAGGAGCCAGTGGAAACAGAAAGACGTGGAAGGACCTAAGACGGGTTCATAAAGCAGAAGAGCAACACAACTTGGAAATAGACCCAAGGGAGAGGCGGAACCAAGGGCAGCCAGAGTGGCTTGAGCATCTGGATGGGTGTGGTTGCCATATATTGAGATGGGAAGACCAGGAAGGAACAGGTTTGGGAATAAGATCAAGAATTCAGTTCTACTTTATCAAAAAAATGAAGAGACAGCCTACAGATTGGGAGAAAATTTTAAAGAACCATATAACCAATAAGGGGCTAATATCCAAAATATATACAAGACTTCTACAACTTAACAAGAAAAAGACAAATAATCCAATTTAAAAATTGGGCAAAGGACTTGAGCAGACATTTCACCAAAGAGGATATTCAAATGGCCAACAAGCACATGACAAGATGCTTAACATCATTAGTCATTAGGAAAATGTAAATCAAAACCACAATGAGATATCACTTCTCTACCACTAGGCTGGCTATGATTTAAAAAACGGAAAGCAATAGCTGTTGGCGAAGATGTAGATAAATTGGAACTTTCATCTGCTGCTGGCAGGATTGTAAAATGGTACAGTTGGTGTAAAAAACAGTTTGGTAGTTCCTCAAAAAGTTAAACATAGAATTACCATACGATCCAGCAGTTCCATTCCTACGTATATAAAAAACCAAAAACCAAACCCATTATCACAAGTTGATCCTAAATCATGGCAACCCCAAGTGTTACAGAGTAGAACTTCTCCACAGGGTTTTCTTGGCTGTAACCTTTATGGAAGCAGGTTGCCAGGCCTTTCTTCCATGGTGCCACTGGGTGGGTTTG